CGAATGTAGATTCTCATCCGTTCCTTCCAATAAGAGTAGTTGGTGCCATCAAAGAGTGGTGGCCTAGAAGTTGATTGACCTTCTCCAATTCCTGCATAGAGATTTCTAGAAGAAGAGCCCATGATCGCTTTACTCTCAAACGGTTAAGTTTGGACGCGAGTTAGGCTCCGATACCAATTGTTAGAATAAGAGACTAACGCTAGAGGGGGGGTGAATAGCGTTTGATCAATAATCGCAGGAATAAAAAATGAATAAATGAGAAGTAAAGAAAAGAGTAAGAGGCACACCGATTTTACTTTGGTTCACCACAACTTGTGCCTATTCCAGCCTCCCGAGAGACTCTCTCGAGCTACACTACTACCTCGTTAAGCTTAACGGTGCTTAACAAACCCGTACAACTTGAGAATTCGAGTCACACGAACCTCAACGAACCTTCGAAGGAAACAGCCCTTCCTTCGAACAACAAGAGAAATACCTTCTCTTGTCAAGTGTTTAAGAACACTAAAACACTCAAGAACAACACTCTCTTTTAGAGTGGATAATGATTAAACTAAGAACGCTCAAGAACACAACACAAGCTTCACAAAAAAATGGCTCTCAAAAGCTATGAATAATTGAAGAATGATTTGCAATGAAAGAGTAGGAGTTGTGAAGTAATGTGTGTTTGTAAAATAGACCCAAACACCCCATTTTATAGTAGAAAAATAGGCTCCAACGGACCAAAGTATTTAAGGGGTGATTGGCACAATTTGTGGGATTTGATAAAATTTGGATCTGCTGAAATTCACCCAGACAACGCTGTCCTAGGCCTAGACATCGCTGTTCTAGGCTTGCGTTTTGAAAAATGGGAAGCAACGATCATGCCAACAGCGATGTCTAAATTCCCTACATCACTGTTTTGGCTGTTGACTTCCAAACAAGAAAAGTTTTAGCCTTAAATTTCTTCCAACGGTCAGGTCTCTACATCGATGTTCCATATTAGAACATCGCTGTTTAGGTCTGCCTTTGAAGATGGAAGTTTGGCCTGACAGCGCTGTTGCTGGGTCAACATCGCTGTCCAAAAACTTTCTGCCAATGCACTATATTTTTGGCTTAGGTCGGACAGCGCTGTAGGGAAGCCTACATCGCTGTTCCAGAAGTTTCTGGAATTCCAACCTTGGCTCAATAGCAATGTCTAATGTCCAACATCGCTGTTGGAGGACTTAACGCCAAACCATGTTTTAAGCTACCCAGGCCAGACAGCGCTGTTGATTACCTCAACATCGCTGTTGGGCTGGTTTAGCCAGACCCATGGTTGGTTTAGTCACGCCGTTAGCCGATGTCAAAAACGCAAGTTCTCCAAAATAAAAACCAAGTTTAGAAAACATTTTCTTTTTGCATTGTGCTAAGAAATCAAGTGAAACATCTTAAAAACCACGTCATTTAGTTGAAAACCACGGCTAGCCAAGTTCGCGCCGTTTCGCATGGTTTTCAATAAACTATTTAAATGTGCCTAGTAGTAAAAACCAGTCATAAAAAGTTGAAAACCACTTGGTTGGTTCGGACGCCAAAAACCAATGCCGAAAACCGAGAGCCGAACGCCGGTTTCTGAAAACCGAATGCCGGATGGCTTGGTTTTTGGTCTGGGCAAACTCCAAGTGTTTTTGGGTAGATTAAAACTTATCAAAAACATTTTTGAGTTTGTAAAAAGAGTTTTGATGAAATGAGCCTAGAGAGCCAAGTTTTGAAAGTTTGTGCCGGTCTTGATCACATTAAGACCGACTCAATACAAATCTAATTCTTCGTTCTTGATTCTGGATTCTTGGTTCTCAAACCATCATGCCATGTTCCTTCGCCTTGGTTTTTGTTCTCTTTAGCCTTGTTATGTCACGGCGGTTTGGCTTTATCAAAACCTGTCATAGAAACGAACACAGTTTAGTACGACGTAGGCGTAAACTCTTCCGATCACTCGAGGGGGCGGCGCCCATTCCGCAGGCACAGATGTTGATGCGAGATTTAGACGCGGGCATGTTGAGGAATGCTCACATCCGTAGGAGGTTGGGAGCTAGCTCTACCGAGAGCAACGCTGCTTCTTCATCTGCGCCCTCGACCTCAGGAGCATCTTCGCAGGTCTCGTCTAGGAGAGCCACTCGTTGCCGTCCCACTTCTCAGGCTGCTCGAGCCACGACCCAGGCAGATCCGACCCCTGAATGGGCTAGGAGGATCCTAGAGCAGCAGGATACCATCATGCAGAGGATGTCCGAAATCGGACAGCAGTAGGCATCCCACGCTGAGAGCTTTGCTCAGCTTCGGAGGACCTTTACTGGCTTTTACTCAGATGTGCACATTGGGCTCACCCCTCGCTCTCCTGAGGGCAACGATCGATCCGCTTCTGTTCCTCCCCCTTAGTGATCTTCATATTATTTTCCTTTGAAAACTATTTCTCTTCGTTTATGAGCAGGAATTGATGATCAACTGGATTGTTGGAACTTCTTATTTTCCACCGGTAACATTTATTTATGCACTTGCTCTATTTCTATTTCAATCAACTCCTTTTGATTTATTGATGTGTGAGTTCTTTTGTTATTGGTCAATCATCCCAATCCGGTATTATACTCCTAAACATTTTTTTTCCCAACTGCGGGGACGCAGTTGTGTTCAAGTGTGAGGAGGAAAGTTACCTGGTTGAAATGATCGAATGAGACGTGTTTTACTTGTATACTTGTAGACCACTTTGGTTTTAGCATAATCATCAGTCTAATATTGAATAGTTAATTGATAGGGTGTTAAGCATATAAATTGAGAATTTTCAAAGGTTTTGGCAAACTCCTATTTTTACGTGATTTTTTTTCGAATAGACTACTACCATTGCTGAAATTAACTAGTATTTTCTTTAAAGTTTTTCTTAAGTCAGATACTTTAATTACCTTTAAAAACTACTGATTTCACTGGAATTCTTAACAATGTGTAAAGGTCTGCACTAAATATTTGCTTCCTGTACCTTTAATCATGAATTTTTGCTAAGATTGCGCTTAAGCGACGAATTGGAAATTCTATCTCCTGAAAAGGCGCTCTGCTTCTCCCGCTAATCGCATAAGGCGAGGGAGCAAGTATGCATCTGACATAGAATAAATCCACAATCTTGGTAAGATAATTAAGTTTCTATGAAATGAGAAGCGTTCTCATCAAGAAACAACACATATTGAGGTTATTAAGGCCTTTACATTATTGGCAATTATTCGTGAACAATGGGCTTTAGAAGAGATAGTTGAGTCTATTTGATCTTAACAATTCTTTTAAGAAATACATTCATTTCAGTAAATGGTTTGCTTCTATTTGATTTAATCAAGTAAAATACGTGTTTGGTGAAAACTTGGCAAATTTTCAGAAGAAATGAGAGACAACTCTAAAAGTATAGCTATTTAACAAAGTCTGATGATTATGTTAGTTGACTTGGCCTCATAATGATGCAATTAACGTTGTTTTCAGCAATAATAATAGAATGTCATACCCTCAGTGGTTTGAAGTTGTTGCTTGACGGCAAGCAACGTTTAAGTGTGAGGAATTTGATAAGTTCATTTTGTTCTTATTTTATTCTACATATTTTAAGCGTTATTGCACAAAAATAGTGATAAGCAGTGCATAATTTTATGTTAAACTGAACAATATCTTTGATTTGTTCTTTAAAGAATAATAATTGGTTTAAAATCTGTCTAGTCTTGATTGTTGATTTTTCTACTTATATTTGAAAGAAAGAAAATTTTTTAACTCAGATTTTTATCATGAGAATTTTGGAGGAAACTGAAACAGACTGCGAAGCAAAGTGAAAATTGAAAATTGGGCCCGAATTGGATCAAGCCGCGAAAAAAGCCCACAGGAGAAGGCCCGAAGCATCCAACCTTGGACGCTTTGCGGGTTGGACGCTTCCCCTTGGACGTTTGGCGATGATTGGGCGTCAAGAATGACACGTGGCAAGCAGCGAATGGATGGGCCGCGTAGGGCGTCCAACTTTGGACGCTTTGGATCCGGACGGCTGGGGGTTGGACGCTTCGCATCTAATCCTATAAATACAGCACTCCCCCTCTTCGATTTAACACGCTGCACAACGCCCCTCTTCTCCCAAAAACCCGAATTTCTCCATTTTTAGTCTAGATTTACAAAGCTACTTTCATATTTTAGATTAGTATTATTCTTTGGAGTTTTCACGGAGCAAATTGTAGCCCGGATCTCAGTTCTTCAGATTTGTTGAAGTAAGTTTGTTAACTTTTTACTATCAACTGAAAAATGTCTTCTTATGATGCATGTGTGTTGGAAGTTTTTATTATGAGTAGCTAAATTAATTGGTGATGTGATTATTGGAATGGTGATGGTAATTTTCTGAGAAAATCATTGAGTTGAATTATAAAAGGAAATTTACTAGTTTTTATTACTGAGAATTTATACTTGAGATTTGTAAATCGAGAGAAAGCAAATCTATTTTTGAAAATTATATTTCTTGAGAAATCTGGAATTTAATAAAGTCAAGTCCAGTAGTTTGATATTTGATCTTTAGACATTGGATTGATTGTTAAGTAAATATTTGAAAAGATGTTTACTTACTAGTAAAAAGATTTAAGGTAAAAGTAACTGGTGATTTTACTCTAAAAAGAACCATCACCTAACCAATAATTACATCCCTACCTTTTATTTCTGAAAGATAAAAATTCAATCTTCATTCCTTATTCGACCTTTTGAAAACTTTTTGATTCATTGAGTAAATCTTGTCTAACTAGTCTTGCTTAACTTTCCCTTGGGCCGATCCTTGAGACGACACGGGATAAACTGATCTTTTAGAAGATCTAGTCTGTTCCATTTACTACTACGGGAATTTTGCGTTAAACCAAAATTCTTCACCAGCTATTCACCCCCCTCTAGCGTTGGTCACTTATTTATATCAATACTAAGGGGGAACGTCTCTTAAAACGGGATCGTTTGATTTTAATATGACTACTTTCTTTTAAACACAAATTAAGGGGGAACTTTTTCACACCTTTTGAAAATAAAAAATCCCTTAGTATGCATATCCCCGTCTTGTTTGCCATTATCAAAAAGGGGGAAATTGTTGGAACACGGGTTTACGCCTATGTCGTACTAAACCGTGTTTGTTTTATGACAGGTTTTGATAATGCCAAACCAGCGTGATAACAAAATCAAGCTGACAAAATCAAAGGCGAAGGAACATGGCATGACAAATTGAAAACCAAGAATCAAGAACCAAGAACGAAGACTTAGAATTAATTGAGTCGGTCGTAATGTGATCAAGACCAGCACAAACTTCTAAAACTTGGCTCTCTAGGCTCACATCATTAAAATATTCTTTTGCATATTCAAAAATGATTTTCATAAGATTTAAACAAGCCTAAAACACTTGGTGTTTGCCCAAACCAAAAACCAAGCCATCCGGCGTTCGGTTTTCAGAAACCGGCGTTCGGCATTCGGTTATCGGCGTTGTTTTTTGGCGTCCAAACCAACCAAGTGGTTTTCGACATTTTATGATTGATTTTTACTTCTAGGAATATTTAAATAGTTCTCCAACAAAAACGCTTCAAAACCCACCCTTCGTTTTTGGTCGTTTAACAAAAACCATGTGAAACGGTGTAAACTTGGCTAGCCGTGGTTTTTATCTAAATGACGTGGTTTTCAAGATGTTTTACTTGATTTCTTAGAAAAATGCATTAAAAAATTTTTTTCAATACTTGGTTTTTACTTTGGAGCACTTAGATTTTTGACATCGGCTAACGGCATGACTAAACCAACCATGGGTCTGGCTAAACCAGCCCAACAGCGATGTTGGAGTAACCAACAGCGCTGTCCGGCATGGGCAGCTGAAAACCATGGTTTGGCGTTAAGTCCTCCAACAGCAATGTTCGTTGTTAGACATCGCTGTTGAGCCAAGGTTGGGTTTCCAGAAACATCTGGAACAGCAATGTAGGTGACCGTTGGGTTCAAAACTGAAGAAAAAATCGGCTTACCAATGATGGGTAAGTCCATACATCGCTGGGATAGCCTATTTTGGCACTATAAAAAGGTGTGTTTGGGTCTGCTTTACACACCAAATCACTTAACATTACAGACATTATCATTGCATTCATATAACACCTTTTTCATAGCTTTCTAGAGCCAAATTGTGTGAAGTTTGAGTTGTTCTTGAGCGTATATATTTTACTAAATATCCACTCTAAACGAGAGTATTTGTTCTTGAGTGTTTTTAGTGTTGTAAACACATTTAGGGAAGCTTGTTTCCCTTGGTTGTACGAAGGAAAGTTATTTTCCTTCGGGTTGAAGTCTTGGAGTGTGGTATCTCCGAGCAAGTGTATTGAGGCTCGTGGGACTCGAGTTCTCATGTTGTAACGGTTTGTTAAGCACCCGTAAGCTTAACGGAAGTAGTATAGCTCGAGAGAGTCTCTCGGGAGACTAGACTAGCCACACTTTGTGGTGAACCAGTATAAATTTTGGTGTGCTCCCTTTACTCCCTTTTATTTCACTCTTTACTTTATCCCTGCGATTTTTATTCCGCAAAAAGCTATAAACATTTTCGTGCCTCACTATTCACCCCCCTTTAGTGAAGGACACTTATTCTAACATTTTGGAGCAGTAATCAGTATGGATGGGTTAGTTTCACAGTAAATATAAATGTAAGTATAAGTAAAGATAAGATATATATATGTATATATCTGTGTGTGTGTGTGTGTGTGTGTGTATATATATATGTATATATATATATATATGTATATATATATATATGTGTGTGTGTGTATATATATATATATACATATACATATACATACATACATAGATATATATATATATATATATATATATATATATATATATATATATATCGATGAAAAATGCTCTCTCTCTCTAGAGACGGCGATAACCCGCCAGTTTACGGCGAACAACCGGTGAGGTCCAAGCTCTTCTCTGATCTTTTCAAACAATCACCTAAAACCAGCTCTCAGGCTAATAAGAGTATGTTCAAGGGCTGCCCGTCCATAACCTTCTCTCAAGAAGATGTCGACGGACTAACAACTCGCTTCAGGTATGCTTTGATCGTGAAGTTCAGGAGAAGACCCCCCCTTTTGGTCGTTAAGAACTTCTTGACTCGTTTGGGTTTCTCAGGGGGGTTCACAGTGGGCGAACTGTTTTCCAACAGCTTCCTCATCAATTTCGAGCAAGATGAAGACTACCAGAGATTCTTTTATCGTAAGGTTTGGACCATTGGTAAGGATACCATGTCTGTAACCAAATGGTCTCCAACCTTAACACAAGAGGAAGACTCCCCCATTGTTCTGGTCTGGATCTCCATTCCTCATCTTCCAATTCACCTTCATGAACAAGCTGCTCTTTTCAGTATTGCCTCCATGTTGGGGACCCCTTTAAAGGTTGACAATGCTACGCTCAACTTCACCATACCCAAGTATGCTAGGGTTTGTGTGGAACTTGACATTTCCAGGACTCTCCACCAACGCATTCTTGTCAAACATGCTGATGTTGATCTCTTCTCCCAGGTTGTCTATGAAGACCCCCCTCTTTTCTGTAATTCTTGCCGGAAACTGGGTCACAACCATCTGACCTGTAAACCGGTCACACAACCGGCGAAAAGGGATATTCCAGCCCCTAAAGTCCAGGATAATAACGACGACAAAGTCCAGCAGGGATGGTCCAAGGTCACTCGGAAGGGCAAGGCTCCAGCTATTCCTAGACAGGGGGATATTTCCAAACCTGTTCATGTTTGGGCCCCAAAACCCACTATAAGAGAAGAACATGTAGAAACTTCCAAGACGGGTGCAAGAAGGAGGGCTCCAGTGTTTTTACCTTCCACCAATGTTTTTTTTCTTGGACCCTTCTGGGTTGGCTCATTCAGATTTACCTCCTCATGCAGAAGGGACCCCAGTGTCAGAACCTCCTCATGCTGAAGGGAGCCCAATGTCAGAACTGCCTTCTCTAGGACCTATCCGGGTTCACAACCAAGAGGAAGTTGAAGACATCCCCCTTATGCGGATGACCTCATTATCTTCACCAATGCTCAGCTCAGATCTATTTCCAATTTGAAGACATTCTTGGCCAAATATCAACAGGTCTCTGGTCACACAATTAACTCCTCTAAGAGCAGCATCATGGTTGGGAAGAAGTTTAATACTATGAGAATTAGGGAGCTGGAACAACTCCTGACCATGCCACACAGAAAGCTCCCTTTTAGCTACGTGGGTAGCCCTATCCACTCTGGCATCACAAGGAAACACCATTGTACACTTCTCATTTCTTCCTTTGACAAGAAACTCAATGGATGGTATCAAAAAAACTTGGATCAGGCAGGAAGATTAATCCTTATTAATCATGTCCTCAATATCATTCCTAACTACTTTTTGGCTGCAAACACTGTTCCTAAATCCATCATCAACCTTCTTCATCAAAAGATGGCAAGGTTCTGGTGGGGTTGTGGCCAGAAGAAGCATCATTGGCTGAAGTGGGAATCTCTTTCTTTACCAAAAGAGGAAGGTGGTATTGGCACTAGAGACATCCAATCCTTGGAGGAGGCCTTTAGTCTCAAATTATGGTGGAAATATCCACATAATAACAGTCTCTGGGGGAGATTCATGAGGGCGAAATATCATAGGCGGGGAGAGATGGAATGTCACTTGGTGGATTCCCCTACCTGGACTAGGATCACAAGGATTAATGTCAAATCTCTCAATCACTGCCATACTACTGAGGAGGAAGCATTTATTTGGAATGAGGACCCATCTGGGCAGTTCACCCTTAAGAGTGCTTATGAGGTTTGCAAGACTAATTCTAGCCCTTCTCTTGGGTTTCATAATATTTGGGAATCCCCACAAAAGTCCAAAATCAGCATCTTTATGTGGAAACTTTTACGCAAGTGCCTCCCGATCCCTGAAAACCTTCAAAAGCTTGGTTTTGCTCTCCCTTATGTTTGTCCTTTCTGCATGAATTCAAGCCTCATAGCAAAACATTCCCTGATTGATTGTGCTAAGATCGTGGATATTCGGGGACATTATGCTAGATGCTTAAACTTCCTCCACACAGAATCATCTACTATCAACCAACACTTTATGAACTGGTGGTTGAGGGACACACCTAACCTTTATGGGCTACTGCGTAAACATCTGCCAGGGATAATCACGTGGCACATCTGGAAAAAGATGAATGAGATCATTTATGGGAAATGTTCTAATTTTAGCACTTCAAGTCTTATTCATCAGATTGATTCGTATACCAAACAAAGGTTGTCCATCAAGACTCCCCGCAAACTTCACCATTTTGACTCCTGGTTATTCTCACATAATCTTATACCCAGGTTCACATCTCACAACTACGTTCGCATGGTTAAATGGAAGGCACCTCCTACGGGTAGGCTTAAACTCAATGTTGATGCCTCCTATACCACAACACATCAAAGAGGTGCAGCTATATTAAGAGATGCAGAAGGAAGACTGGTCCGTGGGGCCTCCTTCAAACTACACTCTAGAAGTGCCTACCAAGCTGAAGTGGATGCCGCTAATAAAGCAATTAGATGGGCCCTTTTAATTTCCAATTCTCTGATTTATGAGACTGATGCTAAGTCTATTATTTCCAGGATTCCATTGTTCAATAAAAATTCAGTTTCCTCTTTCCCAATTGACGTTTTGGGTCAACTCATCCTTCAAAATGGAATTCAAGTTTCTCACATTTTACGGGAAGGGAACTCTGCTGCAGATGGTCTCGCAAAGGTGGACAGGACTTTAGATTCCCCTCTCAAGGAATACTGGCATATCAACCTTTGCCCTGATGTTGTTAAAAATATTTTGTACCATGATTGTATCCCCTTGTTCCGTTTTCATTAATAAAACCTGATTGCTTTGCCATATATATATATATATATATATATATATATATATATATATATATGAAAGGTAACCATGCAAGGATAGGCAGCAGAATATAAAAATTTTAACATCCTAACATGATTATCTTGCCCAGAATCACGTACTAAAACTTATAGTAGTAAGAAATTTGTACCTTTCTTCGTAAGCGGTAAAACGAAGAAGTCGTAGGAAGAGCGTTGAAAGTGCAAACGTAACCGTTCAAGCGTCCGGTCTCCAACTTTGACACACGAACAACGCCGGAGTCTACAACAATTTTTATGCTAGTAAAGATTATAGTAGTATAAAATATAAAGATTAAAATTGGGATAATAATAATCTTGTATATTTCTATAGAAAATAGTTCTAATAATATTTAGAAAATATTATAGATATTTTCTATACACAAAATGATATTAATGGAACACAATAATATATTTTTCTCTCACTAGGAAATAATGGCCGAGAATACTCCCTTAAACCATAGCCAAAACTCTCATTCTCTTTTACAAAGTGGCGTACAAATTGTAAGGAAGAAAAATGATAAATTTAACTTTGTCATTAACTAAATGACAAAAATTATTAGCTGCACTAAAGTATCAATCAAAAGAAAAATTTGATTCCACAAATCCCCACTTGGCCGAACAATGATATGAGAAGGATTTGTGAAATTCTTCTCCACTCAAATGTTCAAAGTGTATTTTATTTGACACCAAAAATTAATATAAAATTAATTTTAAATCAAATAAAATACCCATATCATTTTTTAAACAAGTATACAAATATACTTTAAATAGTTTATGTCAAAATAATTATTTTCATAATTAAAATGACAAACCAAAATAAAATATTCAACACATAATATATATATATATATATATATATATATATA